CCTAGTCCAGTAGTGCTGTTCTCTTTCGTTTACTTAGTGATGCTCTGCCCTTGAAAAGAAAAATTTTTCAAATTTCTATCACCCTTTCAGTCATTCGCTGTCCACGTGGCGGGCTTTTCGCTACATAACTCAGTCCTCTTAGTGAAATCACTTTACTTGATCGTAAAATTTAGCTGTGAGTGGAATGCTTGTTCTGTAGGAAACTTCGTAGTTAGAGGATTTAACATTTTGCCAGTTAATACACGTGCGGAATTTTGCGCGGCAGAGATGTGCCGCGCAAAATTTATATGTCCGAGCCAAATCTTACTGTTTGATGCACGCAGTTGAAAAAAAAAAATGGAATTACTTGGCCTAATTACACATACGCTAATTAAAAAACACTCACCCCGGACTTTCAGGCATAAATGGTAGAGCTGCTAGTACGACTAAAAGTATGACCAATTCGAGCAAATAAATGTGCCACCAAAGGGACAACTGTCCAAATAGGGATGGCATTGCTATTATAGCACCAACAACTGTTCCAAACTGGACATTTGTTCCCGTCATCATGCTCACAAATCCGCGACAATTTTTTGGGCTGAAATGTGCTTTGACAGAAGCACTTTTCCATCCTAGGACGGCATTCTATCCCTTGTAAATACTTATTCAACATTTTATGCAAGCCCGAAAAAACTCCACTGAGGGTAGGCTAGGTTCGTCTGTTTGTTCATCCACTTGTGCATCTGCAAGCATCACCACTTCACATGTGTTCTGTTGGCTGTGCACCAGTCAGCTCAAATTTTTTTTTTTGAGAAGCATCAAACCTACTGAAATTTTTCTGGCCGTTATGATTATTTGTGACTGGCTTTCTATCTTTATTTTCTTGAATTAAGCAACGTGTAGAAATTAATGAAAAGACATTATTGGTGTTGCTGAATGTAAGAAGTGCTACCTGCTTTCATTGATATACAAAGCTTGCAAGCCAACACTTAAGCCAACTGCAGCCCCTAAATATATCCGGGAAATGCAATATAATTCAAATGAATTTGTCTGAAATAGTTTTCAGTTTTTTAATTGAAATTTATCTTAATGTTTTAAATAGTGAATTCTGCCACTGTTCTATGCTAAGGAATTGGCGGAATTTTTCTATTAAAAAACCTCCCTCTTTAAAAAATGTTGGTTTGAGCGGACAAAGGATGTACGCAAGTATTTTGAATGGGTATCCGTGAACATCAAGACTGCCTAGGCAATTTGTCCGAGTATCTCACGTTAACGATATTATTGGAAAGCTTCAACACGCCAGGCGTACCTAAGTCAGACTCTTCGACCTTTGATCGCATATTTCCAGTTAATGCCGACCACCCTTCCGGTACATGTGCGCTACTGAACTCCGTTCGAGGAAACAACTGCTTTTCCCCGGACACCACTTACTATAACAAGAAATTCATCATTTGCCGACAGGACGCCCAATATATCCTGTCCATGTATTTGTTGCACGCTACTTA